TCATGCACACTGCCACTAGGCGATAGCCCTAGTATGGTAAGCGAGTCCGAATCCGAATATGATTTATCTTTTGATGAACTCACCTGTGCTAGTAAAAAAATTATTGCATGCCTATAACAAATTGCATAAAAATTTTATTGATTTATAAAGCAAGCGTAAAGGTTTAAAATCTGATCATGAGAAGCTAAGGTCCAAATTTGATGTCATTGCAAAAGAAAATACTATGCTTAAAGAAAACAATGACATGTTAATTTTGGAAAATGAAAAATTAACCACATCTATAACTAGCTTATCTCATGAAAAAGATAATGTCATGTTAGAAGTAGAGAACATAAAAAATGATACTGCTTCTTTTATAAATAATTATTTATGTTCTACTTCTAAAGTTAATGCTAATATGCCTAATGATGAGTTGAACAATGTTAAAAACCGTATTTCTTCTTTAGATTCAACTCTTAATACATGCATTAACAACCATAAGAAGCTTGTGAATATGTGTGTCAAGTCTAAGTCAAAATCATCTACTCATCATGCACACATATATAGCAAAGTCTACAAATGCACAATTTGCGGTCGTAAAGGCCATCTTGCTAGATTTTGCTATGATGCATACAAACATAACAATGCTAATGCTCATTGTGCATCTCATGTAGCTTCTTCATCACATACACATGCACATACTCATCATGTTCATCATAAGCATGCTCATGTGTTTAAGTGTGATCATTGTGGTCGTTTTGGTCATTTGGCCAAATATTGCTTTGATTTGAAAAGAAAATCTCATTTGACAAATGCTTCCAATAGGCCACATGTTTTCAAATGTGATGTTTGTGGTAGGGTTGGACATCTTGCTAAATTTTGTTTTGATATACAAAAAGCTTCTAAATTGTAATATGTTCCAAATAGATTATTGTTTAAGAATGTTACTCATTTGCAAAATAATTTTAAAAGAAAATCTTTATTTGCAAATGATTCCCGTGCACGAGCTAATGGTCCACAAAAACAAATGGATCTCTTTCATTGCACAAATTGCAATCGGAAGGGGCATTTGAATGAATATTGTTTTGACCATGTTAGTGCACCATATATGCCTAAGAGGGTTCATAACCCTAAGGCTTTGAGCTTAAATGATAGGGGTCATGACCAAAAAAAATTTGATTTTTTAAACCAAGAATTTTAATGTTTTTATCTTTCTTTTTCTTG